TCAAGCGATTCTCCTGCCTCAGCCTCCTGAGTAGCTGGGATTACAGGCACACGCCACCTCGCCCAGCTAATTTTTGTATTTTTAGTAGAGGCGGGGTTTCACCATGTTGGCCAGAATGATCTCAGTCTCCTGAGCTCCAGTGATCCACCCGCCTCGGCCTCCCAAAGTGCTGGGATTACAGGTGTGAGCCACTGCGCCTGGCCCATATGCTTATTTTTAAATGTAAGCAGTTTATTAAAATCTTCTAAACTCATGCTGGTCACCTCCCTGCAAACCCCTCATCTATAGGATGGATAGAGCCTTCAAATCACCAGGGAGCAACTTTAGAGTACAGCAACTTGCTAATCGGACACTGAGTCCTCCTTCCCTGTCCTCCCGCTTTCCCACTCCCATGTCCCCTGGCCTTGATCAGTACATATTCCTGGGAATCTGCCCTAATTCAGAATGAACCCAAGGGAAACTTAAAGAAGGAGGCAAATTGCTGCTGAAAGCACTGTGATGTGTCCCAAAGCCAACTTTCAATGATCTTTGCATTGTTTATCTCCAAAAACACAGAAAATTGCAAGTGAAGGCAAAGTCTTCAGCTCCCTTCTCTTACCCTTCCCACCCCACATCCTTAATTGAGAGCCATCTGTTCCTTGAATAACTGTATACACTCAATGAGGCTATTTTAAAGCTTGAATTCTCACCTCTCTTGAGACCCTGCCTTGGGTCAGCCTCATTGGAAAAATTGCCTCCCACCAAATTCTCCTCTGTAAAAAGTTCTGCTAGCAGCTGATTCCCATATGGACAGAACCAGCCTGTTGGAAGGTGATGGCTCTCAGAGGCTGACATTTGAAGAAGGGCTCCCTCCCACCCACCCTCAAGGCCATGCCTCCTTTTGTTCAAAGGTGGCAGGTGTCTGTACATGCAGAGCAAACTGAACTTTGCAGAAATCCACCAGCTTCTTGCTTTTTCTCTCTGTTGGTTGGAAGTTGAAAATATAGTCAGTTTCCATGGTGATGGCAGCTCAGGCTAAGAAGAGAAATGAAATCCCTGGGTCAATCCGGAGCTTAAACTTCTCAACCAACACCCTCCCCTCACCACTGCAATAAAAACAAAAAACAAAAAACAGCTAACAAGTAACAATACCAGGCATCAGATTTGATTTTGATCTTCTCATTTTTGTCCCTTACTGTGTTCTCCTGTGAGTAATAGAAATAACAGAAGGGAGAGGGGCTTGGGCGACGTGATTTGAATCAGGAAGCATTTCTTTAGCATCTACTATGTGCCTAGCTTCCTGGAACAGCTGTCTTTCTTTCAGGGATCCAGGGTTGTTTAGGACAAAGTGTTTCAATGTGTGGCAGGCTGCTTAGGCCTGAGAAATCCCAAAAGTAATGAAAGATGATCCTAACACAGAGGTTAGAAAGTTAGGGGCAGGGCACCGTGATGAGCTTTTCCACTCATCACCGGCCCTGAGAAATCAGGAATCTCGTGTATTTAAAATGAATTTTGAGTCTGCCAATATGAAACAATTGTGGTATTTTTAAAACCCTGATAGCTTTAGTTTTATTATTATCATCTTAATTGTCAAAAGTCATATATGGACAATAGAAATATGTTGCAAACCACAGAGAATACCCGGATCCCACCACAGAACGATGATCACTTTTAGTGAATTGTCCTCCAGTCTAGAGGCTGGGCCTAAGAGGTGGGATCTGAGGTATGCTCTCCTGGCATAACCAAAGACAAAGTGATACTTAAATTCCCAAATCAATGTTTTTACCCCTACGGATCCAGCAAGGTTAGTCCGGACAGAGTCCGTTCCATGTGACATCAACAACCCTCTACGGAAGCCACCTCGGTATTCAGACCTGCACATCAGTCAGACGCTCCCCAAAACCAACAAAATCAACAAGGTAAGGCTGGGCTTCTGCTGGGTCTGGGCATGTGGGGCTGGCACTGCTGGGTGAGGGGTAGGAGGGATGAAGGGTTGATCTGGAAGTATGGCGCTCCCTCCCAACCCATCTCAGCTTCCCTAATTCTGTGATGTTTGTGTTGAGTAAAGCTTGAGGGACATCCAGCAATCAGTGGAGAGGTTTGTGTGCCAGAAATCTAATTTAGAGAGAGGCCATGTCGGAATGAGAATGGATGAGGGTGTCCAGGAAGGCACAATGGATGGGAGGAGAGACTTAAAAGGAGTTTCGTTAGTGGTCCAGACCTCACTTGCTTTGCTCTGTGACAGGTTTTGCCATCTGTATTAGTCTGTGTCATGCTGCTGATAAAGACATACCTGAGACTGGGTAATTGATGAAGAAAAAGAGGTTTAATGGTCTCACAGTTCTGTGTGACTAGGGAGGCTTCACAATCATAGCGGAAGGTGAAAGGCACATCTTATATGATGGCAGACAAGAGACGGCTTATGCAGGGAAACTCCCCTCTATAAAGCCATCAGATCTTGTAAGGCTTATTCCCTATCATGAGAATTGCACAGGAAAGACCAGTCCCCGTGATTCAATTACCTCCCACTGGGTCCCTCGCATGACATGTGGGAATTGTGGGAGCTACAATTCAAGATGAGATTTGGGTGGCGACCCTGCCACACTATAACACCATCTTCTAGGACCAGCTTTGCAGATGGTTCTGGGCTTTCTGACACATCTGTCGGATCAGACCTCCAAGGAATAGGGGTCTATTTCTGAGCTTCTGGTAGAGGCTGGATGGGTGGGTTTCTTTGGGGCCCTGAGCTCTGAGCAACAGGCAATTTGGTTGGCTTCTACCCTCAGACAGAGGTCAGCACTGGGCCCCTCTGTGCATCTTTCTTTCAGTTGTGGCCCAGAAATTTCTGGCATGATTTCCATATCCTTTATTTGATCTGCTGATGGGACTGTACCAAATCTATCCCAGGGGTATGCCCAGCTTCACAGTAGGAAGCAAAGGTTGCACCCACCAGCAGGTGATTTCCCACGCATCTCAAAGCTTTCATGCATTATGTCGAAGGTAGATGTCTTAGTCCATTTGCATTGCTATAAAGGAATATCTGAGGCTGGGTAATTTATAAAGAAAAATGTTTATTTGGCTCACAGTTCTGCAGTCTGTACAAGAAGCCTGACACCAGCATCTGCTTCTGGGGAAGCCACAGGCTGCTTCTATTCATGTTGGACAGTGAAGGGGAGCGGGCATCACAAGGCGAAAGGAAGGAAGGAAACGCGTGTGTGAGAGAGAGAAGGAGGGAGAGGGAGAGGGAGAGAGGGTGAGAGAAGAGGGGAGGTGAGAGGAGAAGAGGGGAGGGAGGGGAGGGAAGGCAAGGGGAGAGAGGTGCCAGGCTCTTTTAAACAGCCAGCTCTAGTAGGAATTAATAGGGTGAGAACTCACTCATTACTGCAAAAATAAAAAAGAGACCAAACTCTTCATGAGGGATCCACCCCTGTGACCCAAGCACCTCCCACTAGGCCCTACCTCCAACATTGGGTTCAAATTTCAACATGAGATTTGGAGGAGACACATATCCAAACTATATCAGTGGAAAAAGCGCATTAACCCAAGGATCAGGAGGGCACTGACCTGTGTTCAGGTCCTAGAGGAACATCGTGATAGCCGAATCACTATTCATTGGCAACGCACAGAGAGAGGATTGCCCCCTTCCCAATCCATTTCCCACACATCAGCCAGAGTGATACTTAATGAATGCAATTTGAATGATGCCATGCCCTGCTTAAAAACCATCCAATAGCTTTCGATTGCATCTAGAAAACAAATCAGACTCTACTGCAGCCTGAAAGGCCATGCATCATTTGGTCCCTCCTCTATCTCTGACCTCTCCTTCCATGTCTCCCCACAAAGCTCATGTGTCCCCTTTCTCTTGAGCTATCTCCCCCGCCATTTTTATCTCGAAGCCGTTTACCATCTGGCTCCTTGTGGCATCATTTCAGCAGTTGAGTGAAGCTGGCTTCTGGAATCAGGCAAACCTGGCAGCCAGCCAGGGCTTCCTCTGCTTATTAGCTGTGGGACTGAACAAGTAACTTAATCTCTCTGAGCCTCAGTTTTCCTGTATGTAAAATGGGGGTGTTCCAGTTATCTACTGCAGCACAACAAACCACCCAAACTTAGTGGCATATGACAATCATCCTTTTATTATACTCACAGAATCTGTAGGTCAGGAATTAGGACAGAGAGCAGAGGGAGTGGTTTGTCTCTGCTCCATGATGGGAATCAACTGGGAAGACTCACACAGATAAGGGCTGGAGTCATCTAAAACAGGGATTGACAAACTATGGCCCACAGGCCAAATCCAGCCCACCACCTACTTTCGTAAATAAAATTTTATTGAAACACAGTCATACCCATATTTCTGTGGCTGCTTTTGTGCTATAATGTCAGAGTTGGGTAGTCATGACAGAAACTGCATGGCCTGCAAAGCCTAAATTATTTACTGTCAGAATCTTTACAGAAAAGGTTTTCTGACCCCTGATTCAGAGGCTCTTTCACTCCATGTCTGGTGCCTGGGCTGGGTTGAGTCGAAGCGTGGGTTCAGCAGAGTTGTCAACTAGAGCACCTGTATATGGACTTGCTGTAATGCTTGGGTGTCCTCACAATATGGCTGCCTCAGGGTAGTTGGGCTTCTTACATGGCAGCTCATGGCTCAAAGAGTAAATGAATTAGCAAACAGGTGGAACTTTGACAGTGTCACTTCTGCTGCTCTTTACTGATGGAAGCAGTCACAAGCCTGCTCAGATTCAAAGGGAAAAAACACAGACCTCAACTCTTAGTGGGAAGAGTCCACAGATTTGTAGTCATATTTTAAACTGCCCATGGCAGGCAATAAGAACACCAACCTCAGACAGTTGTTATGAGGATGGAATTCAATAATCAACATTTAAATGCACTCAGTGTACTTACCGGTCCACAGTTAATATCCACGATATTCTAGCTATTATTATCAGCTTAAATTTAGGGGCCTTTGATCAAAACGTCAGGCTGGGTCCACTTTTCCTTTGTTATTCGCAAAAGATACAGGTCTTTAGGAGAGGGGATCCCCACTGCTGGGAGGGCTGAGTAAGTTCAAATAGCGAGGCTTCTGGGAACTATAGTAACTGTGCATCCCTTAGAACCCATTCTTTGTGACATTTTGAGGGGTGAGGAGCTGAGAACCACCTTGAGACCTTTCTCTCTGGCTTTACAGGCACCATGAGCCTCTTGGTGTCAGATGAGACTGAAACATAGGTCAGATAGATCAGTGACTGTGACATTGTTCTGCTTGTCTGCCAGCAGGAGAATTTGATAAGGGAAATAAATTAACCTGTATTAAGAAAGCAGCTTTGACATGAAGGTGGACAGGATCTATCATAGGGCTGGGTTATTTTTTCCCCTCTTTCCCTTCTTGCTGGCTTCACACAGATTCTTCTTGTCAGGCAATGACGTGGTTAGTGCAATAAGTTTCTGAGCCAGTTTGGTCTGAAGATTTTTTTTCACTGCTCTTTGTCTTGTCTCTTGTCTAGTTCAGTCAATCCAGTTCACAAAGGCCCTGCTTTTTCACCTAGCACAGTGGTTAGAGTATAGATTTTGGAGTCAGGAAGTCTGGGCTTGCAACTCAGCTCTTTAACTTGCTGTGTGATTGTGGGCCAGTTATCTCAAGATCTGTCTGCCTTAGTTTTCCTTTATGTAAAATAGACATAATAGGAGGTATTATTGGGGTTGCAGACAGGATTCGATGTATGATATGTATAAAGGATTTTAGTCCAATGCTGAGTACTCAGGGCATGGAAATAGCTTGATGATGACGAAGACAGCGAAAGAGGAGAAGGAAGAGGCAGGAGGAACAGGAAGGAGGAAGGAGGAGGAAAGGAAGCAGGAAGAGGAAGAGAAGGAGAAAGAAGGAGGAAGAAGAGGAAGACAGAGTGGGGTGGATGAGGAGAATGGAGAAAGGGGGAAGGAGGAGAAGCAGCAGCAGTAGCATCTGCCAATTCCTTATGGGACCAGTCTACAACCCTTGTACTTCCACATCAAGGCATCAAAACTACCATCTGCAGTAGTGGCAGAGGCTGAATCTCTGCCTGCTGTATTCAAGCTGTTTGAAGTGCCTGCATGCTGGCTTACTTTTGTTGGTTGGTTGCAAGGTACAGAGACCTGCCTAGGCTGGCTCTGCAAAATGAGTTGTCTTTTGTAAAGGGTGGACATGGGGCAATTCAGAGAAAGGGAAATCCTCATTTAGGATCTGGACCTTATGAAACTAGACATGGAGGACAGTCTTGAGCTCAATCCAGCTCCTTGGACCCAGAGCAAGCCCATGGGCCATTATTTTGGTCTTCCATCGTATCCCTGACTCAGCTACTCTTTGTGGGTCTCCTCTGATGTGTTGTTACTGTTGGCTGGTTTCTTCATCTTCTACTTTTGTCTTTCTTTCCTTTATCATTGCTTCTGCCTCCATATAGTTCCTACTCCTTATGACCTTTGGCTTCTTTGTTTTCTGGCCTGTTGTGGCTCCCCTGTTCTCTTTGAACCTCATCTTATCTCAGCCTTTGCTCCTAATGCTCTTCTTCCTAATGGCATATCTCATCATTCTATCCCATATTATAGGTCACTGGTCAGCTGCCATTATGCTCTGGCCTATGGTCCTGTGTTGGGAGTGGGCTATGGAGGTCACAAGACAGGTGTGTCTGTTTAGGACAGTCCATTGAACAAAGGCTGTTGGGTTGGAGGGTGAGGACAGTTTCCTTAGAAAGTTTCCATGGGAGAACAGTGACCATCACCACCATGTCCAAATCAGTGCTTAGCTGAGTGAAGTGGAAACCTGGGTGATGAACGTGCTTCTATTTGAGTTCCAGAGTCAGATGTGAATTTCTTATTACTTGGCACAACCTTGTGTTTCTGCTTCTGGGCCAGGACTTGGGACCTGGGCCACTAATGCTCTGTGTGACTC